CGCCGAATTCAAACGGCGGAGCGCGGGGGTCGCGCGGCAGCGGTTGTGCGGCTCCCTCCTCCCTATAAATCGTCCGCGGCCATGAGCAGCCGCCTGGTTCCGCAGCTCCCGGCCACCCGCAGAGCCGAGCCGACCTATCGAGGTAAGGGCCGCGCCCGGTAGGGGGCCGTGGAGCCGCCTAAGGCCCCGGGAGCTCCAGCGGTGGGTCGCGTGGCGGCGGGGTCGGACCTGAAATCCGCTGCCGAGATCAGAGCCGGTACCTGGCTGAAGTGTCGCCCGCCTGGTCTCGTTCTGCGCATGCGCCCAGGTAGCGGCAGTGGCTGTGGGTGCCCAGGGCAGCTAGCAGCGCGGTGACTCGCTCTGCCGTGGGGGTAAAGGGGGGGCTACTGGCCCCCCCCCCGTTAGTCTCAGCTGGGATGCCATCCAGGTCTGGGACAGACCCTCTTCCAGAGGCAGCAAGCTCTGCGCATTCCCCCGCCAGTTTCTTGCGCCCACCGCTCCTCAGCTGCAGGGGGAGGGTTCGCTGTACAAGAAGCTACTTCCCCGCCTGTCTCTTCAATCCCCCTCATACCCAGTCCCTGCTGCTGTTCCTCACACTGTTTGCTTGCAGAATCCCCTCTGAGCCCCATTTCCCCTTGCACTTGGACCACTCCGAGCCAGCTGCACCGGGATCCCCACTAAGGAGTCCTCAGTAGGGGCTCTTGCGCATTTCAAAGCGGAAGCACCTGCATGGAGTCTGGGGTCAACGCGGGAGGGGACGACTCAGCTGACCCCAGGCTCCATGATGCCACTTTGAAATGCTGCCACTTTGACATACCACTTCTTCCCTCTCCTTGTTGGGGGAGGGGGAAAGAAATCGACTAGTCTACTCAACTATCCAATAGCATCAGTTGACTAGTGCTTAATGTCCTTAATCTGCACCCCATTGAGCCCCAATCCTCTGTACCTGGATCTCTGAGCCCCACTTTTGTAGCGTTTAGACCTCCCCTCCCCCTTTGCTGAACTCTGTCACCTACATCTCTCCTGCTAAGCTTTACCCACCTTCACCTGGATCCCTTCCCCCTGCAGAATGCCCTTATTACACCCAGAACCCCCAACAGGCCCCAGTGGATTGAGTGTGCCCCTCACACAATCCTTTCAAACCACACCTGAATCTCCCAGAGCCTCTCACTCTTTAGTTCCTGCCTTACTGCCTGTGCCTGGTGCACCTGGCAAGGAAGGGCAGAGCCATAGGCTGTTTCTGGAGCATGTTGTGAACAGCCTTGTCACTGAGTGTTTCTTGTGGGGAGGGAGGGGGGAGAGCAGCACAGTGATTTCCCACCTCTGTGCAGCCAGTGGCCTGTGCTCCCCAATGCCATGTAGGAGCCTCCATGTTTGACAACTTTGCAGAATTGTTATTTTTGGCGCAGAATGCCCTCAGGAGTATCTAATAGTCTGGGCCCACCACTCGTACAGCCACATAAGATCTAAAAACGTAAACAAAATACAGGGGAAGGTGCAGGGTCTGTTCACTGAGGCAAAAAGGAGTGTAGTGTACACGGAATCACTCAATTTAGCCTATTCTTTAGCAAGTATGAACATGGGACTATTCCAAGGATAGCCCAATCCAGGGGTGGGCAAAAAGGCATCTGTGGGCTGGAGCCGGTTGAGTGGGCCTGTGGAGGCCCTGCTGCTCCCCTGACCCCAAGCCAATTAGGGCCTGGGCGGTGGGAGAGTGCCCGAAGTCTTCTTGCTGCTGCGCTCAGGGCAGGGGGGAGAGCGGAGGAAGCTTTGTGCATCCCCAGGCCAATTAGGGTCTGGGGGCGGGGGAGCTGTGTGATGCTTCTTTTGTCCTGCCCCTGCCCTGCAGGGAGCATGTGGCATTTTGAAGTGCTCCCCTGGCCCTGAGTGGGGTGGGGGAGCATGCCAAGCCTCTTCCAGGGCATGGGTGCCTAGTGGGAAGGGGGGGTCAAAGGGGCTCCCCCACTCCCAGACCAATCATGTTTGAAGTGGCCCCTGGGCAAAAATGATTGCCCACCCCAGCACAATCCCACTTGTCTTTAATATACACAACTATCGCTATTGTGCCTTAAAGATTTCCTTTTAAAGAAACTGATGCTGCAACCCTTGACAAAATAGCTAAATTATCTTAGTTGCTTCCTTTTAATCAAAAAAGGCCCTGAGAAAGTATGCCTTGAAGATAATCTAATTTGGGGTACTGACAAATTTAAGTGAGACAAATTCCATAGTAAATATGACAAGGTTTGGTCACAGATGTGCTGAAATACCACTGATCCTGTTTGTGCCCTTTTTGCGTTGGCACAGAAAGTTAGTGTAATAGAGACACTGAGATTAACACAACTCTGGGAAGGCTCAGTTAAAAACACTTGACACAACACCCTGGTGCACAGTCACAATGGGACCAGAACCCCACAAACATCTTTAAAAAACCAGCCAATTGGAGCTGCAACAGCAGTGCCTGTGGCCTGGGCAGCAGGCAGAGACCCTCTA